GTAAATAAAGTTTAAACAAACAAACTATCCTTTTTTTTATTTATAAGAAAAAAACTAAAATCTTTAAAACAATGGCATATGTAAATTTTAAATAAATAATATTCCTTAAGTGTCCAATAACTATGATAATGTATAGAAGGTAAAATGGCAAATTTCAAAAAACACCCCCATTAAATTATTATCATCAGGGCCGGATTTAGCAGAGGGCCAGCGGGGCCACGGCCCCAGGGCCCCCACCATTTAGGGGCCCCCACCAATGCAATATGTAGGTTTTTAATGAAACAAATATGAAAAAAATTGACGAAAAAAACAAAAAATTGGGTCGGTTATACCGGGCGAATCCTGTAATTTTCAATTAATTTTTCGTAGATCTAACTCTAATTTTTCGCGGATTTTTTATCGCTTATCCGCTTGCAAATCAAAATGTAAATTATCACACTCAAAGTTTTGGCGCGCGAAGACGTTTTTATATAGTCTATAGTCGTAAGTTATGACTTATAACAATTTTAAGCAGTTGCTCCTTTAGTGCTTGTCGTAACGTTTTTGTAAATACAGGCAAACAGTCAATTACTTATAATCTAATTTTAAAGTTAGTTTTTGTCCCAGATTTTTATTGGTACATTGGAGTGTTGTGGAATATTTTCCGGTGTTTCCGAAATACTGTTTCGTGCTTTTCTTTGGACAAAAGATTGTTTTATTGTTTGATTTTGTATAAAAAACAGACAAATAATACGACTTTTGATGCACTTTTTTTCAGTTTGCGGTAAGTATTAAAAATACAAACAAAACATAGATCAATTTATATTTTACTTGAGTAAAATGTAAGGGTATGTTCGTATTATTAAAAATATATAAAATATACTCGTATACACTTTCATTCACAATTCTATTCTACTATCTACGTTTTTATAGTTTTGCATACGAATTTATAATTTCTCAGACTTGGGTAGTAATATTAAAAATATACAGGGTGATTCAGACTTGTAGTAACAAAAGCTCAGGGGAAATTCCTCTCATCAAAATATGAAAAAAAGTTCCTATAAACACGTGTCCGAAAATGCTTCATTATCGAGATACAGGGTGTTTCGTTTTTTATTTATAGCTTAAAAACGCTTTGGCTGATTTTACTAAAATTTATTAAATAATAAATAATTCAGATAATAAAAAATCACGTAAAGCTTCTCTAGCTTAAAAATTAACCATGAGTTTTAATTTCCCAAGTGTCAACATTTTTAGAAATATTAAGGGCCCCCACCAAATGTCGGCCCCAGGGCCTCAAAACTCTTAATCCGGCTCTGATTATCATAAATTATAATAAAAAAATTGTAGGTAATATAGGTATGTAGGTAAATATTTTTATAGGTATGTAGGTATATATTTTTATCAAAAACCATATTTTTTTTATTTTTTAATGCCGTTTTTTATAAATTTAATTTGTATTAAAACTATCAAAAATGAAACAAGATTATCTGTAACTTGTCTTGGTATAGATCTTGGTGTTGCGTTTTCAATGTTACTTAGTATGACTCCACAATATTCTTGAATCATCCTGTATAATTTTAATATATATGGGTGATTCTACAAAAGTTGGACAACTTGATGTCAACAGTCAATGGAGTAGGTATTTTAATATTTTTTGTAAATATTTTAGTATATTACAAAAAATACAGTTTTTTTTAACTTGTCCACCCAATTTTAATGTATTTTTTCAAAAGCACGTATGTAGAAAAACATAATAAATATTTAAAACATCAGTATCTTGGCGTGTCACAACTCCTGAATAAAATATTTTAGTGATTTTATTTTAAAATATATTCAATTTATCTTAAATTTTTCAATTTCAGTACAAACTATAAAACATTAAATAATGTATTTTTAATATATTCGAATAATAGCAATTTTTAAAAAAATGATAATCTTTGTACTCACTTTTACTTGTCAGTTCTGTGTCCAATGTTAAAATTAAAAATTCCTTCGAAATATTAAAGTTTAAACGTCGAGTCCTCGTTTTAACTCAAGTGTTGGTAAAAAATTACCTACAGAGCCCGCCCTTTGCACGACAGTCATTTTGAAAACAATGCAAGCGGCGAATTTGTGGTGAATGCACGTATTGTTCCAGTCAAAATTTCAGTACTGTGGTGAGTAGTTTTCTTATGTATATATATATATATATATGTATATTTCATTGTAATTTATATAAGGCTATATGTGATTTGTTGAAATGTAGCATCCACTAATAACAAATATCAGTAAAATACTTAATTCCGAATTATAATCTCAAATTTGTATCCCTTTCTTCAGTACCGTGTCGTCAGTTCCATGTTTCGGTTATCTTTTTTTCGCAAACTTCAATTTAAATTCTGCTTGCGCAGAACTTGTTTATTTAATGTCATTATAAACTCATATAAATTTGGTGTGGGTCCCATATCTAATAATTGAGATATCGGTATTCCCAAAATCCACCTGAAAAATGTACGGTTTTGAGAGGCCTATTCGAACCGCCAATGTTTTCTACACAAAAAAAGGTACTCTTGGTCATAAGCTCTAAAGTTGACCGTTTTCGAGAAAAATCAACTTTTATATTTAAAAACATGTTCAATTTTTTGAAAAAAAAAATTATTACTAATTAAACAAAATTTATTTTAACGTTAGAAAAAGTAACAAAACCAAACGATAATTGCAAAATTAAAAAAAAAATAAAAAATGATTTTTTACACAAATGCTGAAATGTTCTAAATGCGTTACCTTTACGGTTTGGAGAATTTAGCGAATTTAGCAAAGACAACTTTTGAATCATTTTTTATTTTGCAATTATGGTTTGGTTTTGTTACTTGTTCTAACGTTAAAATAAATTTTGTTTAATTAGTAAAAAAAATTATTTTTTTTTAAATTGACCATGTTTTTAAACATAAAAGTTGATTTTTCTCGAAAACGGTCAACTTTAGAGCTTATGGCCAAGAGTACCTTTTTTGTGTAGAACACATTGGCGCACAGTGCGTCGAGCTGTGGTAAAAAATTAAAAAAACAAGTAGGCTTTGGATCATTTCTTATAACTGTCATGTCATTAATTATAAATGAAAAATAGGCAATAACCAATTTTAGTTAGCCGAAGTTATTTGTCGTTGAAATACAAGGCATTAAAGTTAAAGGTTGTGAAAAGACGGAATAAGATTAGTTAAATTTAAGGAAAATTGTTTAGTAGTTTGATGAATTCTAATTTATACCCAATATTAGTGTTTTGTTAAACTTTATGATGGAAGTTGATTCTGAAGGTAAGTGCTTATTTATGAATGGCTATTTTTTAGCATATATTTAAATAAGGCCTTTTACATCACATTTTAATAGAAATTGGTGCAAATTTACATTAAAAATTTTAACTTAACTATTTACGAAGATTTTTACTAATTACATTGAAAACCATATGAAGTTTTTTTATACTAATTACAAGGTCCATCCTTCTATTACTTGTTACTGCATTAGTTTTTTGCAGAATCTTGCAGACCTTGATGATATACTTTTTTGCAGATTTGGTTACCGGTACTAATGCTGATATATTTGATGCATGGGTAACAAATAAAATACAAAAGATCCAAGCAGTTGCAAGTAAAATAAAATTTTTGTTAAATATAGATGTAAATGAGTGCCCAGAGACTATCGAAGCAGAAATCAATAGAACATCCAAATATTTTTGCCTCACAGTAAAAAATAAATGGAAACAGTGTGCTAGAATGCGTTCGACCTTCCTCAAAAAGAATGAAGTTTGGCTTAAGCAAAGGTTTACTTTTCCAGAAAATATTAAACTCTTTATAACTAAAAACAAAAATTCTACTCCTAAAACAAGTCGAGGTAGACCACAAAAAAAATTTGAGGACGGTACCACTCAAAACTGGAGTCCAGCTGAACTTAACTTTGATGCAAAAATTTCCGCAAACAAAACAGCACCTTCAACAAGTCATAAAAAATGTTTGTCTGTGCAACAAGCGTTAGCCCTTTATTTATATCTGTACTTTTCAGAGAATAAATACATTATCCTAAGTAGAACAATAAATCTATTATATCCTGGATTATTTCCGAGTCCCACTAATATCTCGATTAATGAACTTTGATCTGGTCAATAAATAAAGTTTTTTGACTTTATCAATGGAGGGTGTGTCCTCCTAGATTGTTACTAACTGCTCTGCACCTTCGTGTCATACTAAATATTAAATTGTCAATGACATTCTGTTCTATTTGTTTCCGTTCATTTCAAAGGCAATTATTATGTTTTGTTTCACACTGTATACTACTTAGTTTATTTTTAAAAACATTTTTTCATAAAATTAAAAAAAAATATTTTTGATTTGAACCATTTTTTATTAATAAAACCATTTTTTAATAAACCTTAATATATGAGTAAATTAAAACATGCATTTTTCTATCGCCCTGTAGATTTTTTAGAGAAAATGTTATTTGCTTGTACAGTATTTATTTATATTAATATTTTAATAGTCAAAAATAATAAAAAAAACATTTAATTAATAAGATATTATTTTTGATTCCCATCCGCATATACTCGACGCACTGTGTGGCGGTTCGAATAGGCCTCTCAAAACCGTACATTTTTCAGGGGCGTAGAAGTTGAGGAGAAAAACACCCGCTACCCCTTCAAAATCTCCACCAATTATGAGTAAAACAATTTTTTTTTCTGGCACAAAACATAGCTTATTTTGAGTGAAAAATGCTTACAAAAGCTGTTTTTTGTACGATAAACGGTTCCGGAGATATTCGAAAAAAACCGATTTTTTTTCTAAAATTTCAACACCCTGTATCTCGAAAATTGTGCATTTTAGAGGGTAAGTTAATAGCGACTTTTTTCATCTTTTTGGATGAGCTATCACATCCTGAAGTCCTGCGCATATATTATGAAACACCCTGTATAAACAAAATGAGGTCAAAAGTTGCCCAACTTTTGTAGAATCGCCCATATGTATTTTTATAAAAACTGTTTTTTTTTAACTTACAACGGCGACTGTATCCTTCAAAAACTCCAAATCGTCGAGATTGGGCAAAGAAATGCTGTTTCTTCTCAGAGACTCCCTTCTTTCCGGTGCAGTTTGTTCAACTTCCGGTGTGACGTCATCCACTTCGTCCGTACATTCGGTCCCGTCGTCCGCGTATGGTAAATTGTCATTTGACGCGCAATTTACCACGATTTTGGGCACTTCGTCGTCTAGAATTACCTTTTTTCGATTCATCCTAAAAATAAGTTTTAAAAACTTAAATAAAAATTAGGCAATTAATATCAATTACCTAATTTAATTGTTTGGTGTGACAAATAGTAGAGTATTTATGTAAATGCTTAATTTATGTTTTGCACGACAATTTAAATATTTTTAACCACAAATTATAAATTATAAAAATAATATTTTTTATTTGGGATTTCAAAAATAATCAAATGTATTTCTAAAGGTCCTTTTTTAAAGGAAAAACATAAGCATAAGTCAAAGATAACATAAATTCAATAAAAGTTTATTAATTAATTAAAATTCATTTAAATTAAAAATGTCTGCTTTAGCAGTCAGGCAGTTAAGATTTGTCGCCAGAATAGTTTATTTCCGTTGGATCCCACATAATTTGAAAATCGCTCAAAACAAGGCTCGTGTCGATTGGTCAAAAGAAATGCTTAAAAAATACGATCGCATTGTAAAACATCTATACGAGGTGTGTTCAGAAAATAACGGAAATTGTTAAATTTCGCGGGTTCGGAGGGTCCGGTTGTCATAAAATTTTCTTTATTATGTTGGTATACATGCCCCCGAAGTATGATAAAAACTTTAGCTGTTTTTATGGTTTACTATGTCTGTGGCAGCCGCTAAGGTTAGGCGTGTTTTATGAGCTCGGCGATTTTCCGTTCGTTAAAAGAAATGGATCAAAGAAAAAATTGAACCTACACCTCGCCAAAGTTTTTTGTTTTGAATGCGTTCCACCAACTTCAAATACCGACAGACAGCTGTTTCGACCTTTATTGGGTCTCATTAGTGTCGGGCAACTTGGTGTAGTGGAACACAATCAAAACAAATTACTCCCTGAGCTTATATGCTCGGTTGTTAAGTCAACAGAGGCGAGATGTAAGAACATCAGGTGATCCACACCGTCAAACGACCTTCTTATGAATATTACCAGTGATGGGTCAAGAAAGTTTCTTAAAGAAACTAAGAAAATTGAATGTTTAATTTGTATCCAATGTTGCTTAAAAAATGAAATAAATTCTGTGAAATGTTAGTAAAACAAGAGTTTACAAGTGGTATAAGAGTTTCCAAGATGGCCGTGAAGAGGTTGAAGATGACGAACGTCCTGAACGCACAAGCACATAAACCATCAGAGAAATCGCTGATGATGTTGGTGTATCGATTGGCTCATCCCATGAAATTTTTTCGAATGTTTTGGGTATGAAACGCGTGGCAGCAAAATTGTTCTAAAATTGTTAAATTTTGAACAAAATTTTTGGCCAAAAACAATACTGTAATGATGCCCCAGCCTCCATATTCGCCAGACATGCCTCTGTCCGACTTTTTCCTATTTCCAAAAATAAAGAGAACCTTAAAGGGCCACGTTTTGCAAGCATAGATGACATTAAAAGCGCATCGCTGAAAGAACTAAAGGCTATCCGAAAGATCGAGTTTTAGAAGTGTTTCGAGTATTGGAAGAAGAGCTGGCACATGTGCATAATATCCAATGGGGACTGTTTTGAAGGCGACAACATTAATGTAGACGAATAAATAAATATTTGTTTCAAAAAACGAAAATTCCCACCTCGTATATATATTAGGGTGGGCCAAAAAAAACTTTTAATTTTTTTTCCTTTAGTTACATAAAAATATCATCCAAGAGACGAAAAAAAAAATTCTGATAAAGTTTGAGCTCTTAATATTAATATTAAAAGGTGGCTCATCGCGATTTTAATGCTTTTTAACGAATCAGTAAGTTGTAGAAATTAATACATATTCTCGTAGGGAATTGAACGATCTACAAAAAAGATCTGATATGATTTTTTGCTTAGTCGACTCGTTTAAAAGTTATTTGAGGTTAAAGTTCAACCTCAAATAGTATATTATGACTTTTATTGTTTTTCATACTCTATTACGAAATATTGGCTCAAAAACATTGCGATTTTTACCAGATTTGTTTTAAAGTGTAGATCTTGATAAACTGTATTTTTGGAGCAAAAAACGCCATATTCGTATAAAATACAAGGCCTACTATGTCAGTTTTTAAGAGTAAATTTTTAAGAATCCATATTAGCGATTTTTTTAAACAAAATCTAAGCACGGTACTGAATTCACCACCCCTGAAAACAACCCTATACTAAATTTTATTGAAAAATTTTAAGAAAAAAAATGAACCATAACAACTACAAAAATTTATTTTGTCAAGTTTTCCATGAAAAAACATTGAAATAAAATTAAACTAATAGTAACATGGTACTTTAACATGGTCAATTTTATTTCAATGTTTTTTTCATGGATAACTTGACGAAATAAATTTTTGTAGTTATTGTTACTGTACATTTTTTTCCTAAAATTTTTCAATAAAATTTAGTTTAGGGTCGTTTTGAGGGGTGGTGAATCCAGTGCCGTGCTTAGATTTTGTTTAAAAAATCGCTAATATGAATTCTTAAAAATTTACTCTTAAAAACTGACATAGTAGGCCTTGTATTTTGTACGAATATGGCGTCTTTTGCTCCAAAAATACAGTTTATCAAGATCTACACTCTAAAACAAATCCGGTTAAAATTGCACAATAAGTAAAGATTTTACAGGGGTGAGTCGCAAACAAATGGGTCACACTGTATATATACATTAGGGTGTCCGTTATTTACCAACTTTGTTTTTGTTCGCAGCCCCCCTAAATTTTTAGTTTATGACCTAACAAAATTATAAAAAAAAATATTTATATTAAACCGTGCCACAAAGACGATACATTTTCCATTTAAATAACATGGGGTTTCGGCAAGTTTTACATTTAATTTTTTTTTCTCCCGAGCAAGTTAATATCCAGCAATAAGAGACATATATTTATAGGAAATTGAACGCTGTACAAAAAAGCTTTCCTATAATTTTTTTATAAATTCACTGATTTAAAAGTTATTTAAGGTTAAAGTTAAACTTATAGTAATTTTTTCGATTTTTTTACTTTGACTGCAAAATTATAATTATTTTTATGAAAATGAATTGTTTATTTTTAAAAATATGTGATTTTATTCTATTATTGAAAAAATAAAAATTATTGAAAAGAGATAAGTTAAGAGATTCCGATAAATTGAATTTTTTTTATTACATTAAACGAATCTGGTACTAGTTTTACTCAATTTTAGCACAATCAGGGCCGTACCGAGGCACACTTTTTTTGGGGGGTGGAGACGATAAAAAAACAACTTATTTTTTTATCGATACTTTAGTAGTAATAGTAGTTTTATCATGTATGTAAAGTGCTGTAAAGTGTGAATAAAGAATGTCTTTACCCAGTGGCGTAACAAGATAACTTGGGGCCCTGGTTTCAAACCTTAGATCCGGGCCCCCTCTCATCTCTAAATATACATACTTATATAGAAAAGGTAGGATTTATCATAAATCGCGACAGGAATAATTTCCTGTAGGTATGGACCTTCATATTTTTGGAAAGTTTTACTTTTATTAAATATATACAGTGTGACCCATTTGTTTGCGACTCACCCCTGTAAAATCTTTATTTATTGTGCGATTTTAACCGGATTTGTTTTAAAGTGTAGATTTTGAGAAACTGTATTTTTTAAAAAAAAGCCATATTTTTACAAAATACAAGGCTTACTATGTCAGTTTTTAAGAGAAAATTTTTAAGAATTCATATTAGCGATTTTTTAAACAAAATCTAAGCACGACACTGGATTCACCATCCCTCAAAAAAAAACTATACAAAATTTTATTGAAAAATTTTAGGTAGAAAAATGCACAATAATAACTACAAAAATTTATTCTGCCAAGTTATCCATGAAAAAAACATTGAAATAAAATTAAACTAATAGTAACACGGTTTCAATAATATTTAGTATAGGGGTGGTGAATCCAGTGCCGTGCTTAGATTTTGTTTAAAAATATAGGTACATATGAGGCGCCGTTTGTTTCTAAATTAAAAGTGCAAAATAAACTTATTTTGCTTTATAATTACCTAATTAATTATATGCATTATTTGCCAAATTATTTTTTGATCAAATTATTTCTTTATCAAATTATTTTTTATCAACTTATTGTTTTTATGCAATTACTTTTTTATCAAATTATTTTTTTATCAACTTATACACAGAAAAAACGCTAGCATAGCATGAATGGGTGAGCCATTAAACCAATGGGATCTTGTAATCCGTATTCCTGAATAACAGTTCCTATAATACCAATAGTTAGTTAGCACTTGGTTTATAATCGTTTACTGTTTTTAAATTAACAACAAAAATTATCGCTCCTAAATCTATTGATATTTATATTGATATTTATTTGTAAGAATGGTAGAATGTTATTGCATTAAATACTAATTTGATTTATTTAATAACTTTTGTATGTATACTATGTATACATTTAACACAATAAATTCTTTGACATTTAGGCAAAATATTTCCCTATTTTGGTTTAATAGTAATTAATCGAGCAAATAACAATTTAGATTGCTTCAATTTTAATGCATTCAATGACAGCGCTGCTCTTGGTACTATGTTAGATTTTTTTCTGTGTACGAGTTGTGTTCAGAAAATAACGGGAATTGTTAAATTTCGTGGGTTCGGAGGGTCCGGTTGTCATAAAATTTTCTTTATTATGTTGGTATACATGCCCCCGAAGTATGATAAAAACTTTAGCTGTTTTCATTGTTTACTTTGTCTTTGGCAGCCGCTAAGGTTAGATGTGTTTTATGAGCTCGGCGATTTTTCGTTCGTTAAAAGAAATGGATCAAAGAATTTGTATCCAATTTTGCTTTAAAAATGAAATAAATTCTGTGAAATGTTAACAAAGGCCTATAGTGAGTATGCTATAAGTAAAATAAGAGTTTACAAGTAGTATAAGAGTTTCCAAAATGGCCGTGAAGACGTTGAAGATGACGAACGCCCCGAACGCACAAGCACATTAACAACCGATAAAAACATGGAAAAAGTGGAAGAAATGGTTATAAACCATCAGAGAAGTCGCTGATGATGATGATATATCGATTGGCTCATCCCATGATTTTTTTTCGAATGTTTTGGGTATGAAACGCGTGGCAGCAAAAATTGTTAAATTTTGAACAAAATTTTTGGCCAAAAACAATACGGTAATGATGCCCCAGCCTCCATATTCGCAAGGCATGCCTCTGTCTGACTTTTTCCTATTCCCAAAAATAAAGAGAACCTTAAAGGGCCGTCGTTTTGCAAGCATAGATGACATTAAAAGCGCATCGCTGAAAGAACTAAAGGCTATCCCAAAGATCGAGTTTTAGAAGTGTTTCGAGTATTGGAGGAAGAGCTGGCACATGTGCGTAATATCCAATGGGGACTATTTTGAAGGCGACTACATTAATGTAGACGAATAAATAAATATTTGTTTCAAAAAACGAAAATTCCCGATATTTTCTGAACACACCTCGTATTTTTATGAAATTATTTTTTTAACAAATTATTTTTTTATGAAATTATTTTTTATCAACTTATTTTTTTATTAAATAATTATGTTGATAAAAAAATAATTTGGTAAAAAAATTTGTTGATAAAATAATAATTTAATAAAAAAATAAGTTGATTAAAAAATAATTTAACAAAAAAATAATTTGGTAAATAATTCATATAATTAATTATTTATAAAGCAAAATAAGTTTATTTGCAAACGGCGCCTCATAGGTATATATGTATTAATTTATAAAAGATTTTCTAAATATAAAAGATTTTCTAAATATAATTTTTATTTAACTAAAAATTTTAATACGATATAATACAAAGTACAACATTGAAACTGCAGTTAAAGTAGCTTTTATAAATACCTATAGGTAGTAGTAAAGTAAAACAAAAAATAGGGGTGGTTATATCAATAAAAATATTTCTAATATTAAAGTAAACTCACTTTTTGTGGTTATTCCAAACACATTTCAACAACAAGTAATAATTTTCTAACTTAAGCGGTTACACAGTTCCAGGTAGACTCAATGAGTTCATCTTTTGAATACGAAAATGTCACATTAACAAATCCTACAAATAAAAGTATAATGAATCGATAAACAAAATAATTAACACACCTTTTCGAAATCGTTTGTAGTAATTATATAAAAAACAGATAAGAATAGTTAGACTTCACAATATTTAAGTTTAAACTATTGTCTATATGTGAAGAACAATTAAAATTTAAATGTTGTTTAACACGTGTTTGTTTGAAGGAAGGTAATAATTAAATTTACATTTATGTTAATTAAAATAGTTAAATGATTGTTTTGATAGATTCATTGGTGTCACCAATGGTGTCAAACCATCCTTGAAAAGGTCTCAATTGTATTATCTATATCGCAATTTTTTAATCAATACTTAAATACCTATAACTTAAGTGGGTAAACATTCGAATTTTATATACGATAAATGTAATATTAACGATGATGCACTTAATTAAGTGCATCTGATAAATAATAAATAATAATGTTCATTACATTGTATAAAAACTCCTTGGATTATGCAAAAATAAAAATTGAGTAAAAATCACAACTTTTAACTTAACAAGTTTAAATATTTCCCATTAAAATAGCACAAAAAAATGTTTTTTACTTTTTGTTTGCAATATACGTAAGTATTATTAATAAGTAAGAAGTTAAAAATGCTACAACCTTTCTGCATGAGGTCATTAAACAATTACTTTACTTAAGTTAAAAAGTTAATTGAATAAGAAGAAAAATAGTGTCCAATTTAAGGAACGCTACAAATAATTTAACACATACATTTTGATTTAGTTTTTACCTACATCAATTTTAAAAATTCAACAAGGTGGAGAAAAAATGTAGAAGACATTTTAATTTTAATTGCTTAGCCTAAAAATAATATTTAACATATGTATAAAAAAGCAGCTGCGTACCCAAATTTTATTTTTAAATATGTATGTATCTAATTCGGCCAAGGAGTTTTTAAAATTTTTGAAAAGATATAATTTTTTAATGATTGTACCACCCTGTATCTCGAAAACTAAGATTTAAAATACACAAGTTCGCAAAAACTACATTTTACCAAATAAAATCTGAGACCCTGTAGGTACATTTCTTTATAAAACCCTAGAATATACGCCACTAACCTACAATGTATAAAAATATGAATACAAAAACTAATTTTTCTACTCCCACATTTAAAACGCTCTTTATCGTATACATGTTTCCATGACACTAAGTGACCTTTTAAATACACATTGACAAGTTGTGGCTTTATGGCGCTTTAGTCCGAACAGGTTTTTAGTCACGGGCTGAAGTTAGTTTTAAGTTAGTTGACAGTTGTCAAATGCCATACAATCGTTAAAATAAATTGCCTTTTTTCTAAAATAATATTAAATGTGAAAATTATTTTATTATCTCAATACAAAAATACAAAAGTATTAAATAGTTTCTCGACGCCAATATTTGAAAAGTTTATATGAACATTGTACTGACCTTTTAATTTCGCCGGCAGTAAACTGTAACTTAAATTCGAGCACGGACTCCACTGTAAAGTGCTCATAAAACATTGTCTTTACTTTCACTGTGAAAAACTGTCAATTTTCAAGAAATACATTTCGATTTATATATATTTATAATTGTGTTTATAAAATTTACATTTGACGGTGACACACAGATTCCCCTATTGTTTCATAGATGGCGCTCTAAACAAATTTTTGATTTAAATCATTTTAAGATAATAATAAGTATTTGTCGTTTATAAACTTTTCTATACACTCATTAATTTAAGCACTCGCTCGCAAACTCGCTCGTGCCTAAATTAAATTCCTGTATAAAATGGCGTTTATCAAACTTGATACATAATATACTATTTTACAACATGTACTTAAAAACAAAAACCCATTTAAAAAAATCATTTTTATCGTCTATGGTTAATTTGCAATTTTGATTTTTCTGAAAATTTTGGACTGAAGTTAGTTGCAGTTGTCAAATGTCATAAAGCAGTGGTCAAATGTCATACAGCGTTAAAATAAACTTTATTTATTTACTAAAGCGACTAAAAGTGAGGTTAGAACAGTCTGACAGATGCCAGAATTTATTTCAGAAGGCTAATATCAAACACAGCCAACTTCAATATTTTTTATTGGCAAATTCCATCACTTTTATTCAAGGAAATAGCGTACCTATTTTATAATTTCTGAGAATTTTTCATAAATGAATTTTGCTGGATTTGATATTAGCCCTGCTTTATTTTTGAAAATAATTTAATTTTGGAGTTCGTCGTAGTATAGCATGCAACTTCTTATATAAACTATTCTAGACACTTATTGAGACATTTATTACACACTCGTTTGCGAGTAAAAATTCTTAAATTGTCTATTTAAATATGTTAAGGTATTTTAAATAACTAAAATTTTAGTTATTTAATATATTAATATAATGCAGTTTTAAATTCATCAAATAAGTTATTTTAAATAACTAAAATACAATGCACTGTACATGTGTAATTGTTTTTAAATTTAATACCGAAAAAAATCCAGTGAATTATAGGTATTTTAGTAACTTTTATTTTTACAACTATAGTTCATAAAGTTTTATAAAGTATACTATGTAGAAGCTAAGATTACACTATTGAATTTCATTCATCTGGTATTCACTATAATATAGTGAATTTTGAGCGATATATTATATCGGTCAAAATTTTTAGTTAAAAAATAATAATAGTATATTATGTATCAAGTTTGAAAAACGCCATTTTAGAAACGAATTTAAGTTAGGCACGAGCGAGCTTGCGAGCGAGTACTTAAATTAATGAGTGTATAGAAAAGTTTATAAACGAGGTGCATACTATACTTTTTCTACGACAAATACTTATTATTATCTTAAAATAATTTAAATCAAAAATTTGTATAGAGCGCCATCTATGAAACAATAGGGGAATCTGTGTGTGACCGTCAAATGTCACATTTTTATATTTTGTAAACACAGATTATAAAGGATATAAATAAAGGTTATTTCTTGAAAATTGACAGTTTTTCACAGTGAAAGTAAAGAAAATGTTTTATGAGGACTTTACAGTGGAGTCCGTGCCCGAATTTAAGTTATAGTTTACTGCCGGCGAAATTAAAAGGTCAGTACAATGTTCATATAAACTTTTGAAATATTGGCGTTGAGAAACTATTTAATACTTTTGTATTTTTGTATTGAGATAATAAAATAAAATAATTTTTACATTTAGTATTATTTTACAAGAAAGGCACTTTATTTTAACGATTGTATGACATTTGACAACTGTCAACTAACTTAAAACTAACTTCAGCCCGTGACTAAAAACCTGTTGCTAACTTCAGCCCGTGACTAAAGCGCCGTAAAGCCACAACTTGTCAATGTGTATTTAAAAGGTCACTTAGTGTCATGAAAACATGTACGATAAAGGGCGTTTTAAAGGTGGGAGTTGAAAAAAATATTTAAACTATTAAAAAACGAAAATTTAATTTACCGTCCCTTGGTAAAAATTCCCAAAATGTTACAACCCTTCGTAATATAATAATAATAAATAATGTTTTAAAATACTCACTTTTTATTGTTTTCTTCAACTTACATAACTTGCACACATCCACAGTAGTCGAATATTAATGGGCCATGCTTATCATTTTATTATCAAACATAAACATTGACTTTTGGGATTTTAATTAATTTTTTACAGTCTTTAAACTAGCCGCATTTTCAGTGCCGTCACAAATATAACTGCATTACTGCTAATAAAGTAAATTACAAATTTAATTTACATCGTCTAACAACTTCCTACACGCACAATATTAAATTTTCTCAAATTGCAACAATTTTAACGACAATATTCCGTTTTTCACAAAAATTGTCACTAATAATTTTCGATGGGTATTTGTGTTTGTCATGCAGCCTTAACCCGTAATTTTGCGTTAATTAGTTTAATGTTTGAGTTTGTTTTTACGTAAGTGTAATTTACAAATTTTGGTCTTGGTGTGAAATTTCATTAGATTATTAAGGGGAACCTTGTTTGGGTAAAACCGGTTATAAGAATAATAAAAACAATTTTGTTTTTTAACAGTTTCTTAAAAATGTCACGGTTGGGTTACGTACAAAGAGGGAAAAAAATCTTATATATATATATGGATATATCTGAAAATTTCTTGATAAGTTTTTGGTTGATTGCAAACCCCCAGAATCCCAAGCAGCATTTTTGGTTCCAAAAACCATTACCAAAGATAACTTTAAATTAGTTAAGTATATCTACTAAACAGCTACTTTAAATTTTTACTTAAAAGTAATTCCAACTTTTAAATAGCAATATTTTGTAACAGAAATTTAGTTAACTTCATTCATTCCTTAAATGGTTACTATAAAGTAATAAACATTTAAGTAAAACTTGGTTGCCCCCAAGAAGACTTTGCAACTTTAAAAAAGGTGTTATAAGCAAAAAAAAACTTTTAAGTAAATTTAATTTGTAGCAGTTACTTTCGGTTTCTACCTAAATATTACATTATAATTATTTTTACTTTGTAGTCCCTTAGTTAAAATCTCGAAACTGGAACATGAGTTAAAAACTACAAAGTTAATAACTTAAAAGTTATTATTTTAGTATTTGGAACGTTTATGGTACTAACCAAAACTACCGTAAAGTAAATTAAGGTGGAAAAAAACTTTAAACCCACACAGAACACGCTATCCAATGGATATCCAATGGCTATCCCAATGTCCATATAACATCCATGCCTTTTACGATATCCATTGGATATCCAATGGATATCCATACTAGATGTTCAAAAAAAAAACAAAAACATTAAAAATATTTTTTTCTTTTTTAAAATAGCCCCTTATAGGATAAATTTATGTAATGATTAATAAATATGATTTAAATCGTTATTAACCCAATTTCAACAAAGTATCTCTAATATATATCCAATGGATAACTAATGTATGTCCAAAGTATATCCACTGTACATCTAATGTATATCCACTGGATATCCACTGGATATCCGATGGATAACTGATATGGATATCTTGTATATATACTTGTATGTATAC